GTGTGTGTGTGTGTGTGTGTGTGTGTGTGTGTGTGTGTGTGTGTGTTCAGGTGAGGACACCTGCAGTGACAGATGGAGCTCCACACACCGTTTACAGAAAGTAGACGTTGAGTTCGGCTCAATATTTATGACCCGTTTCATTTTTCATCCCCGCTCGTGTTCGTGGATCAAACTGACGGATGTTTGGGAGCAAAAGCTTTTAATTATTTACAGATTTTTATTTTTATTTTTTAATTGATCCTCTCCAAACTGCTGATGTGGATAAACAGTGGGAGTTGTTGTTTAGAGCTGCAGATTCATTGATCAACTTTTAAACAAACTAATAATTGATGCTGTTTGTGTTAATATCTCATCACAAATCACCTGCCGGCTGTTACCATGGCGACCTCTTCACCTCTTCCATTATCTCGTCTAAACTAGGTGATAACAACTATATTATTGTTGAGTGTTACCGTGAGCGCACGTGTTCCTTCATCATGAAGCTCACAACCCTCTGCTGTGTTTTTAATGGGATGAGGACCCATTAATAATTATGTATAAATATTTATAATGTGCATCTTGTTGCTGTGATTAATTTGTATTCCTGACTATAATGATATTGTCCACGTTGATGACGTAATGCTGGTCCATTTTAAATGTTTTGTGCCAAAAGGTTCAACATTATTTGGCACATAAATAACCAACATTATGGATCCATCCACTGAATAAAAGTCAGTTTTAAAGCATTAGCCTAGCATTAGCCTAGCATTACCTAGCATTACCTAGCATTAGCCTAGCATTATCCTAGCATTAGCCTAGCATTAGCCTAGCACCTTTCACGGCGGCAGCTGCTGCTCATTAAGCAGCTTCTCAGGCTCAGCACCGACTCGTGGTGGAAGACTCTGATACCCGGTCAGTTCTGGTCAGGTCCTCTCGTCCCGGTCCGACCCATCTCCTCAGATGGTGGAGATTTATGGCTCACGTCGTCTCGGTGGATCAGCTGTCCCGGGTTGATAACGGTTCAGTAGAGACTTTGTCCACAGCAACAACGATGGAGGCCTTCATGTTTCTGAGCGGTGAGATGGTCGGAGAACCTGACTCAGATCTGTGTGTCCCCAGGACCCTCTCCAGTTCAGTCCTGCTCGTTGAGGTCATCCTCCTTGTTCTTGTTTTGTTTTTATGTTCATGTTCTTCTTCTTCTGCTTGTCAAGATCTTCTTGTTCCTCTGCTTCTTCTTTTTCTTCTATTTCTTCATCTTGTTCTTTTTCCTGTTCTTCTCGTTCTTCTTGTTCTTCCTGGCTGTTGGGATCAAACTTCTTGACGTCCTCCCACCACTGACTGGTCCAGATTGTGGATCAGGACTAAGTAAAAATAAAAGCCTCCTCTACAGGCAGACGTTTCTCCTTCTCCACCCCCTGACGTCTCAACAGAGAGTTGATACTCGCGCTGCTCTAAAGTGGTATTTGTACTGTGGTACTGAAACGTGTACAAGTACACGCAGAGTATCAGCATCAGTACCTGCTTCAAATAACTCCTCATGTATGTCAGCCGCTCAGTGAGGAGGAACGTAGTGTGGTAGTAGCTGAGAGTCATCCTGAGCTCAGCGAGAACGGATCTGACAAAATCACGAGCTCGTCCCGAACTCTCTATTTCTCATCTTAAGGTGATTTTAGTCTTCGTCTGCTGTGTGAGAGGTGGCGGGCGACAAGCATCCATCGAGAGACACGCCAGGCTCGACTTCTCCAACCGCCTTAATGTCTTAAATACTAGTTTCTGCTGCGGAGTGGGAGGCTGTGTGTGTGCACGTGCGCTTGTGTGTGTGTACACACTCATTAGCACCAGGACATGTCGGCGTGGGAGGGCGAGATGGAGCTGAATGAAAGTTGCTCTCCTCAGTGATGTCATGGAAACCTGTTCAAAGCCTCGCCAAGTTTTTACAAAAGTGCACAAACAACAAAACACACACACACACACACACGCACGCACGCACGCACGCACGCACGCACGCACGCACGCACGCACGCACGCACACACACACACACACACACACACACACACACACCACGTTTCCTCTAACACAACTTTTGTTTTCTCGTTTCATTCCCGGTCAGACTCGTCCTTCACGAATCTCGTGTGTGTTTGTGGACATGTGATGATGGACACAGCGAGCGTTCAGGGTTTGACCCGTCCAGCCGGTTTTCATCCCCGGGATGCTCCAACATCTGGACTTATAATCGCTCCAACATCTGGACGTATAATCGCTCCAACATCTGGACTTATAATCGCTCCGTCCTTTTGGTTTCAGTGTCTCAGCAGATCCGGAGTCGGAGGATCTCTGATTTTTCAGTAACTTTAGTGATAACTGTCCGTCGTGCTGCCTCCGTAGCTCCTGCACAAACGTCTTCTAATTATACTTTAATTAATAAGAAGTGAACCGTGATGTGCCAGATGTGGAGTTCACTGCTGAGCTGTTTTATCCTCGTAAAAACCTCTGTGTCATCTTTTAAACAGCTGGAAAACCTGAAACTTTAACGTAGAAATGAAAAATTTAAACTGTTTATTAAAGTTTATTAGAACAGAGAAAGTAAAAAAATAAAAACCTTTTTTTTTCTACAGTCCAAAAATAAAAGAAGACTTGTGTAATTATCTAAGCTGTGACAGAGATGGACTCTTAATTTGAAAGGCATCACTAAGCTTTAAATGAAAACTCTGTGGTCAAACCACTTCCTGTTTTCTATAGAACTGGTTTCATCATCTGCAGACTTTTATTTTTCATGAACATTAAATGTTACGGGGGGGACACATGATGGAATCGATGAAGAAGAACCTGCTGAAGAACAGAGCTGACTCAGAATCAACTGAGACACTGCAGCCAAGCCAAAACATCAGCTAAAAAAACTGGCTAAAAGCTAGCTAGAAGATTGAAGATTGTCCTGATTCAGACAGGTCTGTTTGGGTTCTGCTGCTGTAAAAGTCTGATGTGGCGCTCGGAGCTCCGGTTCCTCTCTCTGTTGGCGCCTGTGAGTCATGGTCAGCTGTCGGCCGACGGTGTGAATCATTACGGAGTGTGTGAACACACACACACACACAGGTGCATGTGTGGCCGGGTGAGAGGACTTCTGTCATCCTGTCCTGGTGTCAGACTCCTGATTTTCTTCTGCTTCTTCAGAACTTCTGAAACTTCATCCCATTCACATTTTTTATTTCAGCATATTTTTGCTAATGCTAATCATGCTAATGCTAGTTTAGCTGATGTTAATTTTCCATGCATCATTTTTATCTGCTTCTTCCTTTTCATGTCACTGGTGCCCATATCCAACTATCACTGTGCAAAATGTGGGGGACACCTGGACATGTCTCCGGTCCATCACAGGGACACCTGGACAT